GTATGGAACAGATTCTATATTCTTCTCTGTCAACACCACATCTTGGTCCTACTTCTGCCCACTAAGAACAATGGGGTAATCACTGCCAGAGGCAAGATGCTAAGAAGATGACGTTTAACTCAAAGTAGGATTGTAAGAGGTAGATAATACTAACAGTAAAACACAGGTGAGCTGTGTTTCACACAGGTGAACAATTTTGCAAAATCTGCAAAAAATTCTTATTTATTTATTCTAGTGTTTGTGTCAATCACCAGGATCATCCAAACAATTTGACTCCAATAGTAGAGTTTATTTAAACCAACAAACTCACACCCAAACTTTGTCTTCATGTAATGGATATTAAGGATTTTTTTTTCTCCTGCAGAACTGCCTCAGGAAAGGACTAAAGCACATATATAAGTCCCAATGACTTGGCCAAGATGTGAACACAGAACATTTTACCAACACTAATAATTGATGGAAAAGGACAAACACTTGAGCAACATGCAGAACTGGCTCTGAAGCCAACAGCTGCAAGGCCAACTTTATTCAGGGCTTACACAGGGCTTATCAGATCAGGTGTAGAGCTACAATAATGCAGTTATATGGCTTTTGAAAGCAGCGTAGCATCTGCTCTCGCTATACACTGAATTTCAAAAACAGTAGCCACGTACAAAAATTTAGCAAAACCTGAATGCATGAATAAAGTTAAGCATCCATGTGGTGTACCTGGTCAACTATGTCCAGAAAGGATCTTCAAAGCTTACTCACAAATGTCATGTTACCAGGAGACTTAAATTTCATCAGTAAATATGATCAAGCAAGCAATACTTCTGTGGCAGCCTAGCTGTCTAAGCCTCTCTCTGTTTTTTTCTACTTCCTTAATCAGGTACATTAATTAAATATATGATGACCTTTGATGTTCATATATGGACTGCAAGGTATGAGACGGCCCAGAGGAAAAAGATTATGCTTTTTCAAGCTTACTTTTGGTACTACAGGGAAAACTAAGGTTGATGAGGCATAATGAGCACAATTATTTTGTGTATCATTATAATTTTACATTAAACAAGAGGTAATCATCACCATAGAATGACCCACAGTAATTGAAAACAACATGACAGCCACCACCCACTTTTAACTTTTTTATTTGTTTTTACATTTTGGGAGGCTTCTTTCACTACAAAAGAACATGGGAATGGTTTTATATCAGTGGGGTTGCTCATTAAGTTGAAGGCAGCAGAGAGAAACACTTGTGTCTTTCCCTCCCTAGGGTCAAAACATGCATACACCCACTTCGGATCCATAAACTAAATCAATCAGTCTTGCATATTTCTCCCTCAAGTGCTGACAAGCTGTAACAAGGTAATTCCTGGATCACTTTAAAGTTATTTGAAATACCAGTCATAACCAAAACAGCAGAGCAAGACCAGAAAAATGCAGCTAAGGCATCCCAAGTCCTCATTACAAATCCACCAGCCAAGGCATGGAAGGTGTCTGTCACATACTGAGGCAGCCAGGGAAGCTGGCACACACAATAGCTTGGAGGCAGCATTACCACCTTTGTCTCACTTGACTCTTCCACAGTGTATTTTGGGGTTTTTTAAAGATAGTCCTTGCCCTGTGCTTTTGAGTATTTTTTCCACATAGTCAATGACTGACAAAAAACAGCCTGGAGGAACATAAATTGCAGAAAGGCTGTGGCTGCCTGAGGGGGTAGGTCATTTGTCACATGAGGCAGGATACTACTCTGTCTGCAATGTCTCCAAGATGCCCCTGAAGGGACTAGAAGAAAATGCTGGTGAGGTGCTTATTGCCCTTTCTTCACTGACGACTGAAGACGGAGAAGCCATCAAACATGTTTGCCTGAAAGTCCCACAGCAGCAGAAGCGATTATATTCTAACACAGAGGGCCTGATTATAAACCATCACCCTGTAAGACAACTCCATTTCCAAAGCAGTTCAGCCACATTAGTACACAACTGCATCTATGCTAAAAGCTTGCCTTGCAAATGACCTTATTAGTACAGCACATCAGCTCAATATTGCTGCACGGCATCCAGCCATGAGTGGCTTTCATCCTGCTAGCCCAGAATACAGATCGATCTGGACCAAAACGCTCATCTCTGCTTTAGCAAGGCTCGTCTTCACAGATTCTACTTTATCGGTTCCCACACGGGGAGTTTTTGAAGGGATCCCTTGCTGCTTTTTAGCCTAGGACAGAAAAAGTTCTTTGCAGGAGAAGAAAGGAAAAGCAGAACCATCAAGGAAAATGATCCTGCCACTCCAAAATTTTCAGAAGAAAATACTATTGAGGAGAAACAGCTACGAGTTGATGGAAACAGAGAAATGAGGAGCGACAGCCTCTTCTTAGTAGCCTAAAAATAAGCAAAACACTTCTCCACTCTACCGTTTGACTGAGTAGGCCATTGCCTCACTCTCTGAATAGCCTATTTATCACTAGCATTCATAAAACTAAAAAAAAGAGGTAAACAAAAATAAATTGTTTTTCCTATGTCAACCTCATTTAATTATTGAAGAGTAGTTTAAATTGTTGATCTCCTAATGCTTTGGCAGGATTGGCAGTCAGTCTAGTCCAGTCAGACTTGCCTGATTGTATGAGAAACGGAAAATAAAATTAGCATAGTCAAAGCCAGGGATAATCTTAGAAGTATTCACAATAATGAATAGAGTTTGGTGACAGGTCTCTTTAGCTGGGAGTGTCTTATACCCAGCTT